GCCTTGTTAGAAGGAAGGTCTGTTGTCAATCTAAACATTTAGGGGGTTTGGGCATTGGGAATCTCAAATCAAAGAACTTATCTCTACTTGCAAAATAGCTATAGCATTTTCCTCATGAACCAACCTCTCTATGACACAAGGTGATTAACAGTACCCATGGAGGAGAGAAGGGTGATTGGAATGTCCTCGCTGGAGGGTCCACGACTCACCGTAGTCCTTTGAAATCCATTTCCCAAGACTACATGTGGGAAATGGATATAGAGTTTGTTTTGGGAGGATACATGGCTAGAGAATAAACTGCTCACCACAAAATCTCTTGATGTCACCGGTTATCCACTACACATAATACATATGTCTCCAGCTTTGGTGCTAATTCCCAGGGAGGACTATCTTGGAACTTTCATTTCAATCCCAACCTTTCTGATAGGGAGACTCCTGATGTCATGACTTTAGTAAATATGCTAGAGTCTGTTCAAATTAACAACCCACCAGACCAACATTCTTGAATTCTTGAACCTTCTAGGTTCTTCTCATGTAAATCTTTATTCATGCACCTTATCTCTAATCCCAGTAAAAACAATTCATTATTGCCAACATACTTTGGAAAGCTACAGTCCCTTTGAAGGTAAAGATATTTTCATGGACTGCTATTAACCAAAAGCTAAACACTAATGATATGCTTCTAGTCCGATGACCTCACCGAGCCTTATTTCCTGATATATGCATTTTGTGTTCTGGAAAGGGTGAGACTCACTCCCACTTGTTGTTACATTGTACCATGATGTGGAAATTGTAGGTAGCTCTGATGAATAAGTTTGGCCTTATCTATGTGGTGCCTCCTATAGTTGATATTTTTAATTCATGTATCCAGGGGGTTGTTTCAAATAAATATATATATTCAGGGGAACAGAGTAAGAAAAGAGGCTAAGGTGATGTGGCTAGTGCGATTTTTCTGGCCTTTGGGGTACATGGCAAACAAGGAACCGACAGATTTTTCTTGATCAGGAGACGGCGTTCATGAGCTCAGCGAGAGGATCATTTTTATGGTTTCCCTTTGGGCAAAAGTGCATGGCTGTTACCCGAGCATAAGCATCTCAAATCTATACTGTAATTAGGATGCTATCATCCACAGAGGAGAAAGGAGATATTTTAATTTACACTATTTTAATCTTTTATTCTTTATTTTTGTATTTATTCTTTACTTATTGAGGAGGATGACTTATTCTCTATCTTTGTAATCTTTTCTCTCCTATTCATTTAACAAAGCTTCTTCTTTTATCTTAAAAATTAGACCTTGTTTCTGCTAGTAATACATAACCTATTCTCTATCTTTGTAATCTTTTCTCTCCTATTCATTTAACAAAGCTTCTTCTTTTATCTTAAAAATTAGACCTTGTTTCTGCTAGTAATACATAACCTATTAAAAGGGCAATCCGGATGATTTTTGTGTTTTTCTGAATGGGCTTGTTGTCTTATGTGAATAGGATACTCAATCTTTTTTTCAGGCGGTAGTGTCTTAGAAGCAGAGACGGATGCATTTTTTTTTTCTTTCTTTATTCAATTATGTGAGAATATGAAGTGGATATGCATGATTTTAGAATCTAACGCTGGTTAGAAGGGACAACGTGAAGAGTTCTTGAAGATTATTATTTGTTTAACTCGTTTCCTTTGTATATTTAATTTCTTCTCAATATGATTTATAAATATTCAAATTTTTATATCTTACTAGATTTATTTTAATAATGGATGTTAATTTCACACACTTCTACTATAGTTAAGCCACAATAGAATGAAAATTAGATCCCTTACACTACAAGGTGACTACATTTTCCTCTGATGTATAACTTTGGAATTTAAATATCTTATTATGACCAATATGTATTTTTGGTATTCTTATTTTTTTCTATTATGATAAGCCCTAGAGGTAGAACAGGACTTAAGATATGAAATTTCTTGTCTTTCTGTTGATTTTTAAACAGCTCCAACACTCGCTCGCTGCTCTGCCGAGACTCATGAAAGGCTGGAACTTGCAACTTTTCACAGTAAGATTGGAAGGTTTTGCCTCTCTGTTCAGTATTTCATATTGTTTCCTAAAATTTGTTGACTAGTATTATGTGTGATTCGTTGAGATTTGG